GTTTTGTACACCAACAAAACTTTTCAAGTAAAATAAATACAAAGGAACCTCAATAAATTACCTTTATCGACACTTGTCTGCTCAATCTCAAAAGTTTCATTAACTTTAATATAATTATTAATATTATTATACGTGTAGATATTCAGATTCGATGACATTGTTTAACCTCTGACCTCGGATTTTATAATTATGTTTATGTCTTAAGAGCTGTTCAAATTCTTTATCTTCAAGTTTTGTATAACGAAAAACCTTTTCAAGCAATTTATATGTGTTAAAAGAAGTAAAATATTGAAAACTTTGTGCAACGTATAAAATAATTGCGTTAATAGCATTATGTACAATACTTAAAAATTCAAGGATCAAAAATGAAAGGGTCGAAGGTCAAACAAGCTTAGTCTAGAAAACTTACTACTATGCTCACGTAACATAAGATGACGGAAGCAACTATTTTTTCATTATTGTTTTTAATAGAAATACCACATAATCTAACATATTGGTTTAAAGAATGCCATTATTGTATAATATTTTTAACGTTTAGCAAAAAATAAACAAAGAAAGTAGTCCCAGTTGCTAAAATATTTAAATTGCTATCACAACAAATGCGTTTGATAAGGATGATTTTTGAGGCTCAGAAAATTACATCAGAATTTCATCTAATAGCCAGTTGCCTTTTTTGCATCTTGTTTATATATTTTTTAATCTGTAGTTTTCACTTGCATTAATTTCTCACCTGATAATCATTTTTAAAGTATTGTAACTCTCCGCTAGTGTAAGTAGTGATGTTTCCATATACTTGAGTATGAATCCCCAAAAGTTGCACTTAAGCATAGATATAATTAAAATGTTTACCTTTGCATAAGGGTCAGCAGTTCCACTGAAGTCTCGCGATACAAGGTCGACAACTTCAATCGAGTGAACATGAAGGACTGACATGTTTTTGTCGTAGCCAAGAATGAAATGCATAAATCCACGGACCTTCTCTGGCGAATCGTCTGATGAATCTCCATTCTAGAGTGAGAAGAAAAAAAAAGACTTTATAGTGGTTCAAATGTTTTAAACCATGAGAATGCGGCATTATATCTATACATCAAATGCAAGTTTTTGGGTGAGCGACTGCAACATCAGCATGTAAGTTTACGGGCTTAGAACACTAAAATCCCGGGTTCGAATCCCCGTGGTGGATACAGTAGGTAGCTCAGTGTGGCTTCTCTTACATTTTCTTCATATTCGTCCAATTTAGATGTTTTACCACATTTTTATCAGATGAAAAATATCCAATCAAAGCATAGAGCTTTTACAAGGTGGGCCAGTCTTTTACTGGACAGGTCCCTGTTAAAACCTGTGAAGTGGTTTTAGTTAGGACCGTAAATTGGTATCAATAAAAATGTTTTTAATTTCATTTGTTAATTTGTGTGTTTCAAAGCAAAACTACATAGTAGTAGAGATACTAGATTTCTAGAGTGAAAAGCTGGGACATATTTTTCCATATGAAGTGACACTGTAGCAGCTCTGAAACAGTATAAATTACTATAACACACTCCGCTAAATAATCTAGTGTTTATTGCAACGAGTTTTAAAACCGTAGACAAAATTAGTCAAAAGCTTATCTAATTAAAATTAATATAAAATAAAAAAACCTCGCCTAAGTTCTCTTGAACCAACTCAAAATAACATGTTGCTTCTTCCTGTGTTTTTTTTTTTTTCGCGGCTGGGCAGGTCTTCAAATCTCAATTTCTGCAGCTGCCCAATGACAGGTTAGGTTAACATCATATGATGCAAGCATGTTGCGCGCAACATTTTGAATGTCCCGCCGCAAAAATTCGCGAATCTTTGCGCTGGGATGGTAGGCAGATTTAGACAAGCTGCAAACGAAGGGTTTAAGAAACGTAGCAGAGAGGGAGGGAACACTGAACCGTGTGATCTGTCTTTTTTCAAGTGATTCTCCAAGTAAAATTAGGCCCGGCATGGCCAGGTGATTAGGGCGCTCGACTCGCAATCTGAGGGTCGCGGGTTCGAATCCCCGTCCCACCAAACATGCTCGCCCTTTCAGCCATGGAGGCGTTATAATGTGACGGTCAATCCCACTTGGGAGTTGGCGGTGGGTGGTGATGACTAGCTGCCTTCCCTCTAGTCTTACACTGCTAAATTAGGGACGGCTAGCGCAGATAGCCCTCGTGTAGCTTTACGAGAAATTCAAAAACAAACAAACCAAGTAAAATTTAGAGGAGTCATGTACAATGACAAACTTATAGATAGACAGAGAAAGTGGGACAAATTTATACTCTTACTATTTATGATTGGAAAAAAAAAGGCTAAAATTTAGATACCCCAGTTTTACAGGGATGTCTGGTAGACCTACACAATAGGCTATCTGCACTTTGTTTGCCACGGGAAATCAAACCCCGGATTTTAGCATTGCATGTCCGTAAACTTACTACTGACCCACAGTTATTTATTGATTTTATGACTGTTCATTGTATTTCACGGGCGCTGTTTTTGTTAGCCGTCCATAAATTTGATGTGAAAGACTATAGAGAAGGCAGCTATCTAGTGTAGCTCACCGCAAACTTTTGGGCTACTCTTATCAAGTCGAATCGTGAGATTTATAACGCACGAACGGCCTGAAAGTGCGGAGAGCGATATTTTCAAAATTACAGACGGCTAGCGCAGCTTTGAGCAAATATCCAAAACACCTAATAACCCTTTGACTACAAATTACATTAAAACGTTACTTGAGTGTCGTGTGCAGGAATTTAAATTTGACAGCTATGGGGTGTGGGGGTGGGGTATGAAGCTTAAACACACGCACACACATATAGAAAATATAATAACTCTTGCACATGTTCGTCCTTTCAGCAATAGGGACGTTATAATGTCATGGTCAATCCCACTTTTCTTTGGTGAACAGTAGACCAAAAGTTGGCAGTGAGTGGTGTTAGCTAGCTGCTTTCTCTCTAGCATATCACTTCTAAAATTATGGACGGCTAGCACAGATAACCCTCGACTAACAAACAAAAACGCACATACATAATTTGCATAGAAATATACATCATTTTGCTCACCAAGTCCTTATGCATGGTTACTTGGGGGATCGAACCCCCTGCTTTACCCCTTAAGCACGCCCCTGCATCACTTCAATCAGTATATTCAGAAATGACATACTGCATAAGTGTTTTATCGCAAAGATTTGATATACATTTTGTTGATGACAAAAGAACAGTTACAGAAATGACGAGATATTCACTTTCATTGAAAAAAATAACAGGAATTAAAGTAGTCCTCCAGTGTTTGTTTTGTTTTGTAATTAAGCACAAAGCTACACAATGGGCTATCTGTGCTCTGCCCACCACGGGTATCGAAACCCGGATTCTAGCGTTGTAAGTCCGCTGTGCCACTGGGGGGCAGTCCTCCAGTGAGTCAACGGTAATATATGGACTTACAACGCTACAATCCGGACGTCGATTCCCTCCCAGTAGTGTAGAGAGCACAGATAATCTATTAGGTAGCTTTGCCCTAAAACAAACAAAGGAATTGCGAGTAAGTCTGAGGACTTGTAATGCTAAAAATCGGTTTTCGATACCCGCAATGGGCAGAGAACAGATACTACATTGCGTAGCTTTGTGCTAAACAACAAATGTAAAAATGTAATTTTCCAATATTGTCATCAAAGAATGCTAATCAAGCCAGATGGTGAATTTTATATTGTAAGATAAGTGTAATGCTTTTATCATTTTCTACGTGCCCACCGCAGGGATCAAACCCCCAAACATTAACGTTATAAGTCCTCAAAGTTACCAATGAACTACCGGGAGCGTTATAAATGAACGCGAAATAAGATAGTACATGGAGTTTTCAGAAAGAGACAGTAGTCTGTCTCCCGTGCGTTGTATATGAGTAAATTGTAAAAGGCACAATGATCGTAATATTAGATCAATATTAAAATATTAACAATATTAATATGTCCTCTGCTAAAAGATGTTATCCTGCAACATGGCAATTTCAGGTCTTTTATTACTTGTTTAACGACCACAATTGAGAAGTTTGGATGGTCAGTCCTTTTTCTTCCCGCGTATATTCCGAGCTCACACTCTGTGACTTATTTTCTCTCTCAAGAGCATTCTTCAAGACCAACACTTCCAAATAACTGATGTTCTTAAGGTAGCTAGCTATACGCAATCATATTCTGTAAAGGAAGTGCATCATAAAAACCCGCCTCTGGAAGAGGAAGGTCTGTATTCCGAGAGTGCTCGATTATTGGGTTTCTTGTAAGATAATGTATATTGAGAAGTGCTGTCAGGTTCCTCACGTCCTCAATATAATTGAGGCAGCTTTTTTTTTATCTTGATTATGTTGGCCTAAAATAAATAAAACATAGTTTCTTTCCGAAACATTTTTTTTTTCAAATAATGAAACTTTACGCTTGAACAAAAAATAATTACTACTTCAATGCCTCCTTTTGAAATCCATAATAAAGAAGAAAAAATAAACCACGAGGAGTGTTTCTTTGTTATGA